ATATTGCACTTTACAATCAGGAGAGTTTTGCAGAGCTCCGGATTTTCGGCTGTGTCAACAGCTGCATTCCCCGGGCAGGCCTGAGCTGGGGCCCCTTCCCCAGCCTCACACTCTCCCGTTATCTGCCTGACCTCAGAGGCATCGAGGCACGAATTGCCTGGATGACAGGAACTCTGGCTTTAGCGGTTTTTTTAGATAAACTGTGTATGAGGTTTATTTTCTATGTCTGACCATCTCCAGGGTTGCAAATGTTCATGGACCCACCGTGCTGGGTCTCCCCAACACTGCGCACCAGCTGGGGGTTCTGTCCTTCACCTAACTGCCCCCCATGAGCTGCCAACAGGGTGGAAATTAGAAAGAGTCAGGCCACTTGGTTTTAGAAACTTGGAATTCTTGGAGATGGCTATTTCCACACCTGAAAAGCCCTAGACTTGTTCATTTCGGGGCCAGGGACTTTTGGCCGTTTTCTTCGTTGTTGGGGGTTTTGTTTTTGGCGGTTTCTGGCTCTGCCCTTTCCCCTCCCTACTCGAGGCAACAGCATCGCCTGGGGTCTGGTGGGAAATGCTGAGTCCAGGGCCTCGTCCCAAATCTGCTGAATCAGACTGTGTTTTAAGGGGATCCCCAGGGGCACGCTAGAGTGAGCGGTGGGAGATGACAGTTCTCTTCCTCCCTGTGTCCCTTGTCCCCCGGCTGGCTCTGTGTGACAGAAGCCCTCTCCCACTAACCAGGCCTCACTCACAGATGAGTGACGCCTGCCAGCCCCAACCCCCCTCCTCCACCCCGAGGTCTCCCCCAGGCCAGATTGCTTTTGAGTTTACACCTGCCTGGAGTCAGCAGGTCATTTTGCAACTTGGCTCTGCCAAGTTTCTTTTCCTCAATCCTTTTCATCCCCTCATGAAATTCTCAAATGGATGTTAAACAGGGTAGTGTAGCCAGAGTGGTTCGTGAATGGAAATTTCTCCCTCACTCAGGCCTGTGTTCCCCTCCCGAGCCGCAAGTCAAGGGTAAAGCAGGCTGCGCTCTCTCCCTGATGAAACCCTACCAGGCGGAGACCTAATTTTCCTTCCCTGGAACACCGTGACGCCCTTCCCAGCCTGGCCGTTGGCCTGACTGTCCCATCAGTGCGCACTGACCCGAGGGCCTGTGCGGGACAGCACCGGGCCACTGCCAGTGGAGGGCCGTGCACCACAGCGTTCCCTGAACGGGCTGTATTTGCGGCTTTCCCGTCTATGACACCGCGGTGTGGCGCCAGGTTGCGGGTGTATCGTGTACCATTTGACTCTTGCGGTTGGAGGTGCCAGGTGCATTCTGCACAGCAGAGTCTGCACTAAAACCCACAGTGTTTCTCCAGAACTCTGCAGCTCTGCCCCTGCCAACACTGTGTACACATCAAAGAGTGAAAGCACAAGCATAAAGGATTAAGGATTACGAGAAAGAGCAGCCTAAGCCACCTTCGTTATTTTTGAGACAGATTTAGTTTGTTGGCTCTAACAGGTGGAAAACTTTGAGTATGCCTTGTTTTCCTAGGGCACCCAACACCTTTTACAGCTTTGTCTGTGGCTTTTGAGTTTTCCAATAAGATGATGTTCTTTTCCTCAGAGTTCCAATTAAAACTATTATAACTCAATTAAAACGATTGTAAACTCTAACCGTGGTTGTCTTGAAAGACCATCACTATGTTGAAAATTATTAGGGAAACTGGAAAGGGCAGAGGAAGAGGGGGAAGGAGTGGAAACAAAAAGGAAATGAAGTATGAGTATTTAGAAATAATTGCTATTTCTGACATAATCTTATTCATAATTGCTTGCTCAAGTGCTGGACAAGTTGTCTCCTGAGGGTGTCTGCCTCTGGATAAAGAAAGTGTTGTACAAGGAAGACAAGGAGCTTCCTGGGGAATGTTCCTAGAAGATACAGACTGGTATTTCTCAGTCTTGTGAGTTGAAAGTAGTAATTTTTACTTACGGTTGCAAACAGTACCAAAGCCCACCTTAACAGACAGGCAAGCATGCAGGAAGAAGGCCATGCCAGTGGGGATAGACGGATTAGGTTTCTGGTCCTAATATGGTGGAACTAGAAGAGAAGATGGTTAGAAGAGAAGTACAGGTCTGCATGAGTTTTAATGACAGTGGACATCACATGAGAACTACAGTTCATCATTCAAAAAGCATTGTCCTATTGTTTCTGGGCTTTTTAATAAAAGCCATTCTAACTGGGGTAAGGTGGTATCTCATTGTGGTTTTAATTTGCATTTCCCTGATGATTAGTAATGCTGAACATTTCTTCATATGTTTATTGACCATTTGTCTTTCTTCTTTTGCGAAGCTTCTGCTCATGTCTTTTGCCCACTTTTTAATAGGATTATTTTTTCTTGCTGATTTGCTTGAGTTCTTTGTAAATTCTGGGTTATTAGTGCTTTATGGGGTGTGTAGCTTGCGACTATTTTCTCCCATTCTGTCAGTTTGTCTATTTGCTCTGTTGATTGTCTCCTTAGCTGTGCAGAAGCAAATTTTTAGTTTAATCAAGTACAATTTATGAATTTTTGTTGTCATGATTGCCATTTGGGGTGTTAGTCATAAATCCTTTTCCTATGTTGGTATCTAGAAGAGTTTTTCCCACACATGCCCACAGAGGGAAGTAAAACTCAGTATAAATCAACCAGGAAGGCAGGGGAGGGGCAAAAACCTACCTAATGGGTATAGTGAACACTATTTGGGCAATGGGCACACCTATAGCTGGGACTCAAGCATTACAGAATCGATCCATGTAACCTAAAACATTTGTACGCCCTTAATATTTTGAAATAAATTTTAAAAAGCACACATTGTCCTAAGAACAGTTAATGCTAGAACATAAAAAAGTTCAGTCATTCACCAATATTCTTCCAGTGTGCCATTCTGAAACTGGAAATAGTGAGCAGGATTATAAAAGTCTTGCCCAACCAACTCATGCCACAGGAGAAGGGACACAAGCTCATCTCCCACCACCCAATGGGCATTTTCCGCTCTAGTCCTTAGGCACAAAGTTCATGGGTGCTGCTCTCAGTCCTGCTCTTCACTTTGCCTCCTCACCCTGCCCCCCCACACCCTCTGGCCATGCGGAAGCACTAGAGGTCATCAGGGGAGACATCATGTCATGCTCAGGAGAAGCATGGTTTGTCCTGGAATCAGCCCTCTCCCCAGAGCCCTGGGTGTGATCCTATAGGGTTGCATCTCAGCCCAGGTTCTGCTACCTGCTCTGGCTTGGAGTCCCTCAATGAAGGGGTGAGACTGTACCTCCACCCCCAGAAGGGCCCTGGTTACCTTCCCAGTGAGGTGGACCCAGGGTGATGGATGGGCAGATGCAGAGGCTGTGCAGTTACAGAAATCGGGGCTCCCTTCTGACATTTCATTCAGAATATGTTCAAAAACAATCTCATTTCATCTTCATGGGAGGAGGTAGTTTTTTAAAACTAAACTGAGGTATCAGAATAGAACTGCACGATTAAAGGAAATTGTTATATAGGAATTGCCTTGGGCTTTCCCAAATTTTGCATTGGAAAATATTTTTATTAGAGCAAATCCTTTTGCAGATCACTAAAACTGTCTGTAACAAAACAGGGTGGTAGGTTGTATTTGGCGATGAAGAGTTTCAGAGGATTATAAAGAGAAATATCAGCCTTTATTCTCCCTGTCTTCATTTTCTTACCATGAGAGCAGATAATTTTATAATAATGTCACTTTATTTTGTAAATTAGTTATATGACATAATAGTTGAATACATTACTCTCCTAACATTCCTAGTTACAACCAAAACCAAAATGTTGATAAGGTCATTAACCAGTTGTTTTGGAATACTGCTGCATTGTAAATGTGTTCTACTTGTAGCTGGGGAGAGTTGTTCTAAGGGCTGCAGGCATAAATGTTGCCACCCCTTGTAATGTAAGACTCCTTACAGAATTATATTGGGAGTATTGACAAATGTCCAATTATAATGGGGTTTTTTTTTGGTGGTTATTTTGGTAGTCAAGTTGGTCAGAAAGTTGTAAGTCCCATGAAAGCTAAATTGTTATCATGTTTTCTATAACATGAAGTAACATATTTTTAGGTATGATTGACATTTTAAGGTTTTGTTCCTACTGCTTTAGGGAGGATTTGGGAAGATACCACAAATAAACTTTTGATTTCTGCTCATTAAGTTGAAAAATTATGAGCATTTATAGTCAAATTATCTATTTATGTGGTTAATCTAGAAGTATTTCTAGGGGTTTTTTTAAACTATTAATACATAAGCTTGTGTTTTTAGTGGGATGAACTTCGTACATGTTCCTGGTTTTCAGGAGAAAGTGTTTTTAAACGTGTAATAAGTGAAACATATTCACTTTTTTTAAAAGCTTTGCTGCCAATCCCATTTCTTGCCCATCTTTTCAATTTTGAAGAATTAAAAAAGTGATTGTCCCAAGCGTCACCAAGAGATTGGTAGCAAGCAGTCAGAAGTTTTGCTTCATTGCAAAAGGAAACATGATTCAGGACGGTGCAGCTGGAGGCACATAAGGGATTCTTAGTAACTCAGTGGCATTTAATAAGCTGGGAACCTGCATGGCTAGACCCTCCTTTCTACATTCATCTAGAATTTCCTGGGTTTTGATGTCAGAAATGCCGGGCGGGCGTGTTCCGGAGGCAGAACTCACCAATGGGGAGGCAGCTGGAAGAGTTCGCGTGGGAAACCCCAGCCCCTCTCCTCCTCCCGCTCCCTGGCCGCGGCGTCGCCGCCTGGCCGGGCAGGTCGGTGCTCCTGCGGCGCGGCGCAGCCCCGGCCGGCTGCAGAGGCGACCGGCTGCAGAGGCGACCGGCTGCAGAGGCGACCGGCTGCAGAGGCGACCGGCTGCAGAGGCGACCGGCTGCAGAGGCGACGCTCGGGCCGGGCCGCGCGGGGGCGGCGGCGGGCGCTGCGGGCCGCGCTGTTGCTAGAGCCGTGATGTCACCCGCCCCTCCTAACCCGCGGTTGGTTGTTTTGTGTTTCAGCTCTGCCTGCAGTTGAGCACAAAGACCTGGAGGAGACTCGGCATCCTTCGGGGAGAAGAAAGGAGGCGGCGAAGCAGATTAAAGGCACTTGTGGCTCGGCTCGTGGCCTTCGGGGGAGCGCGGCCTGGGCCGGAGCGAAGTGCATTAAGCCTCGTGGCGTGAATGAGCCGTGAGATGAGGCGCTGCCACCGCCGGCGCCGCCGCTGCTGACGCTCCCGCACGTCCAGCCGCCGCCTTTGTGCCGCGTGTACATGTGTCTGTCCGGGCCGGCCGGAGGCGCCCAGCAGAGCATCCAACACGGCCGCCGGGGAGAGAGCGCCCGCCATGCCCACGGAGAGCCTGCAGACAGGTAGCATGGTGAAGCCGGTCAGCGCCGCGGCCACCTTCACCTCGGCCGTGCCGCTGCGCATCCTCAACAAGGGCCCCGACTACTTCCGCAGGCAGGCCGAGCCCAACCCCAAGCGGCTCAGCGCCGTGGAGCGGCTGGAGGCCGACAAGGCCAAGTACGTCAAGAGCCAGGAGGTGATCAACGCCAAGCAGGAGCCCGTGAAGCCGGCCGTGCTGGCCAAGCCGCCCGTGTGCCCGGCCGCCAAGCGCGCGCTGGGCAGCCCCACGCTCAAGGTGTTCGGCAACCACGCCAAGACCGAGGGCGGCGTGCCGCGGGAGACGCTCAAGCTCGAGATCCTCAAGAACATCATCAACAGCTCCGAGGGCTCCAGCTCGGGCTCGGGGCACAAGCACGGCGCGCGCAACTGGCCTTCGCACCGGCCGGACGCGCCCGACCTGCACCGCCACTCCTTCGCGGAGTCGCTGAAGGTGTACCCCACGCAGGGCCGCGCCAGCCCGCAGGAGGGCGGCTCCCACGTGAGCCGCAGGCTGCTGGAGCAGTCGGCCGACTCCTTCCTCCACGTCTCCCACAGCTCCTCGGACATCCGCAAAGTGACCAGCGTCAAGCCCCTCAAGGCGATCCCCTGCAGCAGCTCCGCCCCTCCCCTGCCTCCCAAGCCCAAAGTCGCAGCCATCGCCACCGTGAAGTCCCCCGAGGCCGACCCGGTGGAGCCAGCTTGTGGAGTCAGCCGAAGACCGTCCCTCCAGCGGTCTAAGTCAGACTTGAGTGACAGGTATTTCCGAGTGGACGCGGATGTGGAGAGGTTCTTCAACTACTGCGGACTGGACCCGGAGGAGCTGGAAAACCTCGGGATGGAAAACTTTGCAAGGGCTAATTCTGACATAATTTCCCTCAATTTCCGCAGCGCAAGCATGATCAGCTCAGACTGTGAACAGTCTCAGGATAGTAACAGTGACCTTAGAAATGATGACAGTGCCAATGACCGGGTGCCATATGGCATTTCCGCCATCGAAAGAAATGCTAGAATCATCAAGTGGTTATATAGCATCAAACAAGCTAGAGAGTCACAGAAGGTCTCCCACGTGTAAGAGACACCGTGGTGGAAAAGAGAGGGGTGGGTCTCTGTGCATACGCAGTTGTGAAGGTTGTGAGGTCTCCTTGAAGTGTTGTGAGCTTCTCCACTCTTTGTGTTGCTTGTTGTGCAATGTTTTCAAGTTGCATGCCTGTCAACATGGGGACTGACCTGGCTTCCACGTCACCATCGCTGCAGAGCCTGGCTGAATACTCGTCATCTGCCAAAAGTTGCGGGCCAGAATCTAATTAGGGCTTTGCTCTTAAGCAAAACTGTTTACACGAAAACGGTATATGACTTAAATATTTATGTGGTTCTTGTGTTTTTATATCTCTTGCTATTGTGTCTTAATTAAAAGTTTTATCAACTGGCTTTTAAGTTGAGAGCAGAATCTTTTTGAAATAAAAAGCCACTTTGCCTACATACGAGACCATAACAATGGTAAAATAAATGGGCTCTGCTACCAGACAGATAGTGACTGAAGAAGGAACATAGAACCAGGCTGGGTTTTCTGTGGAATTAAAGTGGTGAGCCTGATGTTTATCGTTTACATGTTGAAATTCTCTTGCCACTTAGTGAAGCAGTCTTTGGGGTAAGGATGCTATGTTTATGTCCAATTCAGTGTGTAAATAACAGTGGCTCTGAGTCATACTGACCCCAAGGAAAGACGATCAGATGCAATGAAGGATGATTAAATCTAGGAAGTTTGGTGTTTGGGGAGTTTGCTGATGTTGTTCCGATTTAGGATAATTCAGAAATTTCTAGTATTAATTTTTTGACAGGAATGGCCACCCTGGAAGCAGATACGGAATGCCTTTTAAAAAAAAGACATGGGTTTTTTTCTGAGTCAAGAACTACGAATTTCATGCTGTCTCTCCCTCCCGTTGTTGTTTTATTTGGGGGGAGGGGGAGGGGCTTGTGCAGTTTTGAGCTATCTGAAGACATTAACAAAAATGGAAATACCAGCCATATCAGTAGAGCCTCCCATTCAAAAGTGAGCACATGTGGTAGCTGAACCATATCTGAGCAGTGTGATTCTGTTGTCTTGCATATATTACTCTCTCAGGCTGTGGGTCTTTGTTACAACTCTAAGAAACTGTAGAAACAGCACACTTATGTAGCTTTTCCACCCTGTGGTCTCTAGTGCTGCCTATCAACTTGTTCTCTTTTTTTCTCAATAAGCTGTCTTCCAGGTGGTTTAGTTAGCTGCCAGCCATCTGACAGCGTAGTGTGGCCGCGGAGAGGTAGACCCGCCATTGGTCTGCCTCGTTGCTCTCGCCGCGCTCTGAAGTTCTCAGCAACACCACCTTAGACTTCATCAGCTGATAGGAAACTTTTATGGTGTAAATACTGTAAGACTTTGTACATACTTCAGTTGTTATGAAATCTTTAAGAAAACAAAAGAAAAAGTTACGCTAATAAATTGCTCTGGTGCCGGCACTGATGGTGGTGGTTTCTCTTTGTCCTTTCCTGTTCTCCCTCCACAAAAGTTTGACTCTGGAGTGAGTGAGAAGCAGATTTTTGATAGTGTTGAAGAAACATTATTTCATTAAGTTATTTTCACCATATCCCAATTATTCTGAACAGCAGCCTTCTTAATCATAGCTATAGCAATATGCTTTTGCTAAAATAGTTAAATCAAGCTTCCTAAAATATGCTGCTGCTTCTTTACTTAGTTTATAAACTTTTGTTGTTTTTGTCTTTTCTTAAACATCAGGATTTTTTGCATCTTCCACAAGACTGTGCAGTGGTAAATATTTATGAGTTCTTACTGTGGAGGCATGTCTTTGCAATGTATAGCCTTGTTTTTATTTGTATTAATACCAGCCCAGTATCAGTACCACAGCGTGTGTCCATGCACTTGTCCACTCCTTCATTCCTTCCTCTTCATCATGTCTCCTGTCGAGTGACTCTCTTTTAGAGGCATCAGTGATAGGCACTGGATAGGCTGTGGTCAACAACACAGTCTCTGCCTCGAGAAACTTAGATTTTCATGTTTGTTTTAGGAGAAAAACCATTTCTCTTAGTGGATGTGTCCTGTCCTATTAACTTGGACATTGAGTCTTCAGTGAGTACTTACTGAATCAAGTTATGTGAGGATTAGTGCTTCTTCCAGAGTTCCTTATAATGTGTAAATGTAAAAGAAAGCATTATTTTAAAAATAATTTTAGAAACAAAGTATATGATTCCCAACTATTACTGTTTATGAAAGCACTATTAATGTTTATAAAAGCAAATTTGGTTCCTTGACTCTTCCTCCTGGTTTTGAATTATTCCTGGTTGTCATCCATGTTAGCTGAAGTAGGCACCTGCTTCCCAGAAGAAACATTTTGGAGTACAGCTGTGACTGGTAAGCATATAATACATTTAAAATAATAGAATAAAAATAAGTTTTTATTGTAAAATTTTTTTAGTCTTAAAAAATTCAACAAAACAAAGTTTTCTTTCCTCACCATTTTGTAGAGATGTGACATTTTAAAACATACATGACTTAGCATTGACATATCCATCTTTCTCTGTTGCTACTGAAGTACTGAAAATAGATGTTATTTTCCTAAGGAAGCCATTTTGGGAGGAGATGAACACCTCTCAGCTAATTTAATGTCACTGCTTTTGCCATTTTAGTCATAGATTGTGTTTGAATCTTCCAGTGTTTCAGTACTATGTGTGATCTGTGTTCAGACAGGACTATAAATCATCCCACTACAATTCAGTCTAATCCTCTGTGGCCTTCTTTGTACAGTGGACAAGTGTGAGGCTTTGGTTCCAATGGAAGATGGGAGCTCATTATTTTCTTTTTGTTCTCGAATTACAGTTTCTGTAAAGGACATTTCTAATGTTTAATATTAAATCCAAAGAGTAAGACATTTCTTGTGAAGTACTCCATTCTAGCTTATGGAAACATCATGTGTGCATGAGAGTGTATGCAAATAAGATGACAGTGTTGGTGTAGATACAGTGCTGTCATAGTTCACTCTTTTTTTCTACACAAGGCTCATTGAAACATGATTGCCCTATATGGCTCTGGAAACTAGCTGTTTCTTTTATGAAAACCACCATATCTTAAGACAGTCTTCCCACATCCATCCCCTCTGCAATTGCCTTTGTTGAGGCTCTCACCATCTCTTACCTGTACTGTTGTTTCTAGAAGTTCCTAACTAGAAGTCTTCCAACACCCCAACACCTCTTTCCTGTCCCATTTTATGCTAAAGATAACATAGTCAACTCTGATGATGTCACTCCTCTGTGGAAAAACATCCTCTGGCTTGAATAGGTTGCTGATAAGATAAATCCTAACTTCTTAAAACAGGGAATGTTGTCATCTACTCTTACACCTCAGTCACCCAGCCAGGACTCCCGGCTTCATCCAAAGGGAAGTTTCCACTGGGAACATTTTACCACTGCATTTGTGATCTGTTGTTTAACAAATTATCCCCAAATGTAACCACTTAAAACAACAAACATCTACTATCTCAGTTTCTATGTATCAGGAATCCTGGAGTGGCTTAGCCAAGTGGTTCTGTCTCAGGGTGTTTCATGAGGCTGCAGACAAGATGGTGTCCAGGGCCTGACAGGCTGGAGGACCCACTTCCAAGATGGCTCATGTGGTGTCACAAGAGGCTTCACTTCCTTACAACATGGGCCTCTCCCTAGGGTTGTCTAGGAGTCCTTACAACATGGCATCTGGCTTCTCCCAGACGGTGTGGACCAAGGAAAGAGCAAGGAGGAAGCCACAATGCCTCGTACAATCCTGTATCCTGAGCCACAGACCTCCATCACATTCAATTGGAATGTGGATCATACTCGCAGGGAAGGGTCATACTTGCAGGGAAGGGAGTGAGGCCCCATATTTTTTAAATATGGGAGGAACAGCAGGCAACTTGTGGACATATCTTAAAACCACCACTGCTGAGGTTCAGTAGCTCTGAATTCGGTAAAGGATGCTTTCTCTGTCCTTGACCTCACAGATGCTTGCTATTTTAAGAGGCAACACAACAGAGAGATTGTTTTGAGTTTCTAAGTTGCCTTTTTCCATTAGATTGTAATTTTTGTCATGGCCATGGACCTGGCCTTTGCTAACCTAAATGGTGTCTTTGTGAGACCTTTAAAGAAGTGTGCCTTTCTCAAAACATTTTGTTTCCTGTCCAAAAAAAAACAAACCTGTCCTAATAAACGTGCAAATCTCTCTGAGGATCATAATGTATACCATGGCCCCAGAGTGGGGCAGCACACGACACAGCAGCCCAGAGGATATGATGCTCAGTAAGTGTCTATTGTTGTTTTTTTTTTCTCACTGTCATGTTTAAATGCTAAACTATAAAAGTGCTAAACTATAAAAGTTACCACAATGAACCCAAAGTGGCAGTTACTGTCCCCATTTGAGAGGTGAAGAACCTTAGTTACATGGAGACTAAGCACCTTAACCAAGATCCCAGAGAAATTAAGTGGCGGAATGGAACTTGAACTCAGCTCTGATTCTAGTTCTACCCTCCCTACAGCCCAGTTCAAGACAGGAGGAGGCAGACTGAGGGTGTTGTGCTTGAAAACAGAAGGACCCTTAAATTTATCTTGATACTTTTACCTGCTGCTGGTATATCTAAACAGGTCTCACAGTCAAAATTTCAGCAAATTCATTCTTACCTAAATGGCAATCCATAAATTTACAAAAAATACTTTAGCTCTTCCACTGTGAGTAACATATAGCCCACTGAGTTCAAAGAGACAAGGCCATTAGAATTGTGTTCTTTCAATTTGGAGTGTGCCATATTTTAAAGTTGCATCCTGTCATTTTTGATCAAGGACTTTTAGAAGGAGAGAGGAAAATGCCTGGCCACAATTCAAGCAGGAAACATTCTGGCTACTTGGTGAATCAGCATCACTCCATTCTCTCATCCTTGAGGGTGATGCAGCTGGTGTGTTCAGACCAGAAGGAATAAAGAGGTCAAGAGCTCTCCAGATGAGCTCGGTCGGAAGAGATAGTTACTCTCACCACCATTCTGAAAACGTCAAACCCGGGTGTCCCAGCCGCTCAGCCCTGTAAAATGACTGAGAGTTCTGTCAGTTTCTGCAGTGGTCCGAGAGCTGCACTGTGAAGGACCCTGGGCTCAGTGGCTGCATGTGCAGCTCCCACACAAGTCACCTGTGGTTTCTGGCTGTGTGCTCACCTTGAGGGTTTCTCCTGTGTGCTCAGGTCACCCCACCTTGCTTTGGAAGAAACCCAGCAGAAGGAAAAGCCGGAGGGGGATGGGCCTTGGCAGCCTTTTGGAAGCTCCTCCTCCAGTGTCAGTGGCCCACGTGCCCAAAGTTTGCCTCCATTCCCTCACCTGTACAATGGGGGGATACCATCTGAGATGTGGGTGCCCTTGGCCTCGGAGCTTTGTGACAGCATGAGAGCTTTGGGGGAGCATTAGGATAGGGTATGAAGAATGTGAAAATTCAGAGGGGACTGGTTCATGTTGTTGTGGGCAAGTAGGAGGACAGATGTGGCCTGTTGGGGGCCAAACTGAACTGAATGGCATTTTATTCACTGTCTACCCAAAACAGCGTTAGGTGGGGAAGGAAATGAAGTCTATGAAAGGATTCTTCCTTCTCTGAGTGGGAGGAAGCTCCAGAAAGGAGAGCCTTGTTAACCTTTCAGGTTGACAAAAGGTGAAAGAATCGAATGTGGCCAGGTGCACACCAACGTACTGTGCAAAGCTGGGAGGATAAAAATAAGGAGAGTCTTTCACCAGTTGATCATGCCATTTATTTGACATTCATGAAACAACCAGCAGTATGTCTTAGGTGCTATGCTAAGCTCTTTGTCACATTATCTCATTTTATTCTCACAAGAACTTTGGAAGTAAATTAAAATCCATCCTACTGATGAGGAATCTGAGGATTAAGCTACTTCTGAAAGGCACACATCCAATAAGTGGAAAAAGTGAAGCACAAATCTGGATTAATAAAACATATCCTAAGATCCATTCTATACATATGAAAATAAAGTTTTAATATCCCATATGGTGGGAGCTATTTTGCTCTTTTCCCATAAGTTGCATTGCAGAACATTTCTCAGAAGCTTAAAACAGTAGTGCACGTGCTGGCTTGTGATGCTTCCATACAGAACCACTAGTCTGAGTGACTCAAGAGTAGTCATCATATTTGATCACGTCAGGACTAAAGCTTCTGAGTTCTGAGAGCGACAGTTAGTGATCAACTCTCCCTCTCCATCTTATTGTACGGAGGTGAGAACAGAGATCTGGACAAGCATGGTGGCAGGGCTCACCCAGGGCTACCGGGCCAGTGGACTAGCACATGGGCTGGAGCCGAGGAGGCTGTGCTTCCCCGACCCCACAAAGCAGCCCCAATCGGGGACCAGAGGGACCATGCAGGGCTAACAATTCCATTGTGCAAAGTGGGAGCAATTTGAGTGGCATGTACTGTGTTATTCCTATGCA